AGCTTTAAGAGAAGCAGGAGCAAGTTTAACGTTTCACCGGGTATCCAATTATACTGGATTAACAAAACAGTTGTCCACATCTGTAATAGCTCTGTTTTACTTGACGCGATGTAATCCCCAATGAGACATAAACTTCCCCGGCTCGGTAAGATCACTGTAAGGCGATTCAATTTGTCCTGATGGGGCCGGAAAGGCGAGCAGTGGCATCGTCTAGTCGGCCAAGTACGAAACTTTAAACCCATTCTGTCGAATCGGCTAGATCTCAGACTACCGACCTTCGTATCAAACTGGAACGTTTTAAATTCCCTCTGCCCCCAATTGGTTGAAGTCCAATTAGATGAAATATTTTAATCGCGTTTGAACGACTTTATCCTATTGGGAATGACTGCCGAGTGTTTAAATTCAACCTTTCTCCCACGCTATTATGCAAATGAAGGCCTGCTCAACGAAAGTCATCATTCCACACGCTACAAGTCCGCTTTCCTTTAGGCTAATATTCAACAAAAGGAAGTGAGGCATTAGATTAGAAAGGACTTTAATGGATTTCTGCAAAGGTGGTTAAACATTTTATGAATTCCTCGCGCATTTCTTATATCAGGGTCTTGAACGAGTTCATTAACCACTCCCAAAGCATTTGAAAATCCTCTATACCATATGAAATAATTATGACCGTCAAGAAAAATTGGACAAAATTCGTTGAAAATTTTAACATATCACCCTTATCCTTACTTAATAGCACAATAAAGTAATTAATTCGAAATAACGGTTGATTAAATTCCCCAAGTGTATAAATTTTTGATAGCAGACAAAACTTTATTTTAGTTAAAGGCAAACAAATGATTATTATTCTGGTAATTTCATTCTTTTTCGTTCAAAAATACAAACATTAGTCAAAAATACTCAAAATACTGTTTATATTATTTTTCTTTGAATATTTGGCTTAACGATTCAATGAAAAATAAATGATAAATACATTAAAAAATCTAAAGATGAAAAGGGTCAAATAATCGTTCAATATTTTATTATGATTTGTATGATGTAAAGGTGATCGACCAGTTGTTTCAACAATATATTTGGTAAGATCGGGGATGTCCAAAGAACGTTCTGGTGTTGAAACTACGCCAAACTTTCGGTGTTTTATTTCACCTTTCTCAGGGCTCTACAAAGGATACATAAACATATACATATAATATTTTATAATTTCTCATGTGTGTAAGTGAAAATAAAAAATCAACTTGCTTTTCCAACTTACAGATTCTCTGTCAGTTTTTAAAATTGTTTTTTCTTTTCAACATGTATAAATATTTTTTAACTCTTTTTGAAATTTCTTATACTGAGTACAATTTTTTAAATAAATAAATGGCACTTATTACAAACTGTTATTACGACAAAATAAACGTACACAAAGGGGACTAGAGAAGGTTAGTATACAATAAATACAATATTTATACAATTGTTTTAGTAGATTAGAGAAATCAGAGATTATAGTTTAAATTATTTATTTAATTCAATAGTCCCAAACGTGGACAGATATACCAGTCCCTGACAATAACCTTCTTTAGTCCTCTTTGTTTACGTTGATTTTGTCTGTGATAATAGTTTGCAATAAGTGTCATTTATTTATTTATATGCTTATTTATTTGTTGAAAACATTGTACTCAGTATAAGAAATGTCAAAAAGAGTGAAAAATATTTATACAAAAACTATTTTTTTTTAAACAAACTGCCAGAGAATATGTAAGTTGGAAAAGCAAGTTGATTTTTATTTTCACTTACACGTAGCAATTATAACATATTATATGTATAAATGTGTGGGCACTCTTCACAACACGACAGACAAGAAGGACACGTCTACACGGAAAACAAACACTTTGAGCCATGAAGATGATTTCAATAAAGATCGAAACGTTGGCACGATAAAGAAAATGTTTTTCTAAAACCTACACCAGACAGCATCTCACGGCCTCCAAATAATTATATGTATATGTATCCGGTGTAGAGCCCTGAGGAAGGTGAAATAAAACACCGAAAGCTTGGCGTAATTTCAACACCAGAACATTCTTTGGACCACATCTCCGATCCTACCAAATGTATTGACGAATTGTATGGACTGTTACACCATATTGTGAAAGTGCTCGACCGAATAACAACCTACGTTCCTCTTTTTGGTAATCTTCATTATCATTATAATTGTCATAAGATAGATGATGATATTAGTCAAATAAGAAACTTATGATGGTGGGATACAAATAGAAGAAATAGAGCGTTATGGTCAAGAGTAATGATTTTATTAGTTGTGTATTAATTAGTCATCGCATTTCTGTACATATATATATTTTTTTAAATTTAGTTGGAAAGGGTCTTCTCTGGATGGATACGTTCACCATTTTTAGACGATTTTTTTAGTCATTATAGGGTAAAATCCGTCAGTATCACAGCTTTATTGTTTCGACTCGCTTTTCGTATTTGCCCTTGGGATCAACAGGTGCCGTAAAAAATTTACGCTGTTATCATCCGCGATGTACAGAGGGGCCCTAAGACGGCTGCAGATTAAACGGGCGCCTGCGAGAGAGGTTTTGCCCATTAATAACTTTCTGTTTAACCGCTCTTCATTAGCGTCCGGCCTCTCATCCCCGTCCTAATAAGTCCACAACAAGTCGGTTTTTTAACGCCGAAGACCATCACCGAGCAGGCACTTTCATACAGGTGTTGTAAATGACTGGGAGGCGCCGAATTGAAAAACCGACGATTAATCTTAAGAAAAATGTATTGGACTTCTTTCAAGGAGGGGTCGCCCCTTTTATGGTCGGATCAGCCTTTTTGCGATATATAACAGGGATAAAGAGTAGTTTGGGGATCGATTTTATTTAAAGCCTTTGTTACCTTTCTGCCAAGGCAGGACGTGTGAACTGAAAGCAAAGCCAAAGGTCTAACAATAGCCTTACCTATTATAAGCTATTATAACTCTACGCGAAAACGTGTATAAATTACAGTGATAACCATTTTCATATAATTTCAATTTTGAAGTGTTATATTCTATAGCCCTAATTTTTCTACATTTCCACCAGGCTAGGTGTTTCCTTAATTTCAATCAAACCATTTTTTGGTGTGTTACAAAGTTTACAACCTTACACAATGTTCTGCATAGATCATGTACAATGTCCATTATTCTAAAATGTCGAAGCCATCACTTCATTTTTTAGAACAACAGAGAAAAAAAGGTTATACACAATTCAAATAGTTCTACGTAAATAAATCACTTATATTAACACATATTCAGAAAGAGGTACTCGATTGCCTGTTTCTAAATAAGAACTAAATCTGTATGATATTATGTTGTCAACTTATACGGAACTTTGGATGTGCAAAGGTGCACATGGTGAAAGTTAAGTTAGATTTAGTGGTGATGTTTTGGCAGCATCTTGGGGGTAAAGTAAAAGTTTCCCACACAACTTTAAATTCAACTTGCAACGAATCTTTAAAACTACAGAAGCACCCTTAAGGAATTAAGACACCGTTTGCCCACAAGGGTACTAAGTTTTTAAAAAGAAAAAAATATATGGATTTTTGAGGGCAAAACGACTGTTTTTCCAATGAAAAGATCAGTTTATTTCTTTTTTTTTAACTCGCGTTTACTACATAGATTTGTATTTTTATACTCAATTCTTTTTCATAAGAGTCGGTATTTTCGGTTTAAAAATGAAAGTTTAAAATTTTAATAAATTTCAGCTATTTCTCAAAGTCATTTTTTTTTAAAGAAAGGGTAAAAAGTTGTCATTTTTCTCTACCATTTAATCAAAATTTACTTGATTTATTACAAGCAATATTTTTTCATCGTTTACTACGACTCTGTGGCTAGGATTTTTTTATTTTTTATTTAATAGTGGATCGTTTATTTTTGGCATAATTTTACACTTTTTGTTTTATACAAAAAAAAAAACAATTTCTGCTGGTTAATTCTTTCAAACATTGGTCACTAAAATTCTGTGTTACTGTTATTACTCTATAAAAGGAAAAAATATTGGTATTAATGTAGGGAATTAGTAATATAGTTCGAACATAAATGTCATTAATAAATAGCAAACCAAATGACTGTTTTTCAAACATTTTCCCATAACTTTGTCATTTTTTGACCAATTAAAAACCTATTTCACCATTGTTTAAAAAAAAATCCTTTAAAATGATGTGTCAAGATGTATAGGGTCGTATTTGAAATTGGATGTTAAACCGGGCCTGAGGACTCTGTATAATTTTTCTCCAAAAAAAGATAAAAATTTGAAGAAACTAGACTAAAAAATATTAAACAGGTATTTTTTTGATTGCGTCATTGTTCAAGAGAAATTCAGCCTGGCCTTGTAAAAAGGACACCCTGTATAATATAATTTTTAATGAAAAACCTAATGTATGTCTTTCTTCCAGTTGGTATAACTTTTATTTGTTATAAATAATTTCCTTTATAAATACGTAAATTGTACATTTATAAAGTTAGAAATTAAATATTTTTTTCTAATATATTTAAATTAAGAATCTGCACCTACGACGATACATTAGCTTTTCCTTCATTTATGTATTCACATTGTAAATAATAACACGATATAGGTATATTTTATAAAAAATTTATTTATGTATGACTTTTTTGTTGTGTGTTGTAAACAAGAAGAATGTCTGATAAATTAATAAAAAGTGAGTTGTAAACGTGACAAATCCAAATGAATTATCGAAGGGATGTTCATTATATCGTTAACAAGCAAAATGACCATTCCTGTGTTAAATCTCATGATTATTACTTAATGATTGCACTTATTACGTGGGTAGCAAATTTTAACAATAATGGCATTTTAATTGAAAAGGCTGGGATAATGAAAAAATTAGTTAATGTGAGTGTATTCACTTGAATAATTGGAAGTGCACAGCGGAGTGATTAAAAATGTATCTTTGGTTCAGATGTCTAGGCAAGAGAAATTTCATGATAACTAACAACTTTATTTTCATGTTTTCAGGTTTTCTACTAAGGAGTCAGCAACGCACGCAATTGTGGCCGTCCACAACACAGACATCAACGGTCAACCTGTCAAATGCTCGTGGGGGAAAGAGTCGGGCGATCCGAACAACGGCCAGCAGGCGGGACAGGTAAACATGCCCTTTTGGAATATAATTTACGCATTTTCTCTAGTGTACGCGTGGTATATATTATAAGAGAGGTGGGGTTCTCAAGCAGAAGCGTTAGTCAAAGGGTTTTGATGTTAAGTGACCTTCAGGGTAGAAGAGGTCTTCTGCTTTTTACCCTCTCCAACACAACAAACCCTTTGTGGGAGAACGTTCAAAAGGTCTTTACATCGAAAACATTTTACTTAACTACTTATGGTCAAATCTGATGTAGATTTTGTTTTATGTATATATTTTTCTAACTTGATCAATTGACTGGTTGTATTTTAGGTTTTGTTCGTTAAAAAATCAATGTATAGGGGTATTCTCGATGTTTGTAAGATGTTAACTCGTGTTTACTCGAATAGAGAAATGTCTAGTAAGATCGTGAATGCCACTTTATTTTCTTAGCATGTTAAACAGCTTATATCCTAACGTCTAACAGCCTACAACATTATAGAATAGGGGATGTATCTACTATAAATGAGAGTATAAGGACAGATCAGAAATTAACAAAAGAAATGTATTAGTTTGGTTTAATTAATGCGTATTTAAGAATAAAAATACGTGTGAACAAAAAACAGCTGTTAAAGTCATGGCTGCCATGTAGGTTACCTACACCCTAACGGATAGCAATGTGACTCCATTTTCGACCTAACATCTAACATTAGACCTGGTCTGTTAGATCGAGCAATGTTAACTGGTCGATTATTACAAGTATACGTCCTCAGTTTTCTGGACATAAAAGAGTTAACAGGGTTAACACAAAGATCGTGAATACCCCTTACATGTACAAACATTCCAGGACTGCCCATCTTATCTCTTCTTATCAATCTTAGTGTTATATAATTTAATAGTTTTGAATTGTGGTGAACATTTTCTTTCTCTTTTTCTTTTTTATTAATTTTTTGTCCTTTCTGTTATAACAGTGCGAATTAAATGCTGGTTTTTCCTTCGTGTGATGCCGTAACCAATTAATTCTAAAGATTACAGTTTTGTTTAAGTACAGTCCTATTTTGTGTTGTCCTAGTGTTGTTTGTCCAACAATTCGTTTCCGGAAGAAAGTTCAAGGGATGAGCTTTCCTCCTCGCTCGGTTTTTTCTGAATGTTTGTCAATCTTCAAACCCGCTGAACTGAGGTTGAACGGGAATACAGAGGGTCCATAAACGTTTGCATACAAATTGTATTTTTTATTTTTTTTAATATATACGGCCCTGCTTATTTTAAACGTTTCCCATCCAGTGGCAATAACGTAATGGAACGGGGTTTAATCTTCTATTTGCTTAGGTTAAAAAATGAAATTGCATTTTTCAATGCCCTGCGTCCCCTCACGGCCGGTGACAGGACGTAAACAGAGAGAAAATCCTTTTTTTTCGCCGTTTTACAATAAACGGAACCGGGCGAAATAACGCGCCACGCAAATTTAAAACGTGTCTAATGGGTTGACATTCGAAAAATAAACATCGGAAAGAGATGATCTATAATTAGATTTTTTAAATGCAATACCCAAGTTTATCTTTTATATCCCGCTTGTTACAGACATTACCCAATTTTTTACTTCGGCACAGTCGGAAAGCTTTTACCGAAATAAATATGGGCTTTTTGCCGGCTCATTTTACCATCTTGAAAGAGTTAATTAGGAGAGGAGAACCGGCCCTTATAATCCTCTTAATCCCTAAGGCGGAAAACAAGAAAGCCCAGGAGGAGGAACAACGAGTAATAGCACGTTTGAATGAAGGGATTACGCGATGATGTAAAATTTGACGAACAGAGTAAATAATGAAAATACAAAATACAGTACACTTGGCGATATAATATTACATAATGGAACAGACTAAGGTTTTATCTAATTCTAGTTCAATTTTACATGGGTACTAGACATCGCAAGGTTAGGTAAACTTACCAAAAAGAGTGTAAAAAATTTTTCCCTTTCATAATGAAGTGTAAAAACATGATGTGAAGGTAATAAAAGCCCTACAAACACAAAAGTGTATTTACAATATTCCCAAAAAGCACTCTTTTTCTCTCCTCTCTCTCTCTCCCTCCCTCTCTCTCTCTCTCACTCTCTCTCTCTCTCTCTCTCTCTCTCTCTCTCTCTCTCTCTCATCTCTGTCTACGAGTATGTCTGCGCCTGTATGGATTGTGTCGTCGTTTGATTAGACATTTTGGTACACATACAAGAACTATAAATATTGTACAGCAGTTAAAAACAATTAACAATGAAGGAAACAGAGAGATAGAGAGATTTTATACACAAGGGTTTTCTTTTATTTATACACTGGTCTATAAGCTGTTCGTTAGTTCCACCTTCGTCAACATACTTCAACCTAGTTTTGTGAAATGAAACTGGTAATTAATCTAATAATGAAAAGTCCTTAGTTGTGTAGGTTGATTTTATAAACGAATTAGGAAAGTTGGCGACATTTTCTCTTCGTCAATGAGAACTAACGGCATTCTTTGTCGATAAAATTTACTTGTTTCCCTTGCTTTGATTTTTTTGTAACGTGTTGGATAATTCGCAGTTCCCATTTATAAACTACTATTTTTTCCTCTTAGGATGTTGTACTTAATAAATTGTAAGGTATGTCTGTTCCATGAATTCATAAGTGAGTGTTTGTTTTTTCTTATGTAATTAGCTTGCTTCAATTTTTGGCCACTTCTCATTGTTTCGACATTTTTCAATTTGTTATAAAAATCGTTAATCATGTATCAAATCAGCATTGGTATGTTTTGATTTTTGCTATTTTAATAAAGGGGTTTCACTGTTTTTGTAGTTATGCCACGATCTATGTGCATTTCAGGAGAAAGGAAGACTCCAATTCTTTTAAATGAGAATCTAAATAGATCCATAATTTTTAGTAAAAGCAATAATTTCTGTAATTAGTTAATACATAACACAAATTAAATCATGAACGAATTTATATTGTTTTTGTTTATTTAGTTTTTGTGTTCATTTATATTATTTATATTTAATTTTGTATTTTAAAAGCCTAGTTGTTTCGTCAAGCTTTCGAGAATGTATCCCATTCATCAGAACTTTGGATATATTTTTGAAAATTCACAAGGGTTAACAGTTATGACCATCTGTTTACAGTGCTGAATCTTATGGTTTAAGTGTTGTTAGATGTTTATTTGTTAACTTTGTGAATTATAAAGTTATAAATTATATCGAGAAATCATCCGTAAGGAATTATAATTTTTGTGGGTTATTTTTCGCTTATCGCTTTTTACGACGAGGGCAAACCAAATATTTAATTAGTGATCTAATTAAGTATTAATCGTCCACTGTTTGCGTTAATATCAACAACTTAATGTTGAGAAAGTATCGTTATTTTTCGACTGTTTTAATTTTATAAAGAAATTACTAACTCTAAGTAATATAGGCTGATGAACAAATTTAACGTACTAGCCAATTTATTTAGTTCAAAATTAAATCCATTATCTTTCCACATTGGTACAATTATTGGAGCAGCGTAGGCAAATGAACTAAATTATGCTTTGTTTACTTTTGTGCTGATTAATTGCATTTGCGCAAAAAGTAGCATTACGCCCTTCCATTCTGCTTTGTCTAAAGATTGGTTTTAGTTTATCTTTTTCCTTCGTTGATTTTATTGGATATTTTTCATACTTTTAAAAGACAAGTCCGAAATGTTTCGATTTCCTCCGGGACAGTAAGAAGAAGGCCTATTGAAAATGATCTAGGCATCCGGCTGGTGAACCTCTTCCTTCCAAGCTCAGAAAATGGCCAGGCTTCACGGAGCATGTGGTATTAGAAGATCGGGACGAGTTCTCTTTACACATGAATTGGTAGTTGGCCTCAAATTGACAGAGGGACGTAATTTCATTTGGAGAAAGGTACGCCTCGTGGTGCATGGTTCCTCAGGTGGCATTCCATGATGGGTCATTGATGTTCTGGGGTGGCATTAACATGGACGCTTGCACCTAATTGGTTGTTATGCGAGGAAGATCCCTAACTTCACAGTCGTACTAATCAGACACAATCTAAGAACATGTATTGCCATTTGCCTCCCACATCGGTGAAATATTCACGCTGATGCAGTATAATGCCAGGTCCCGTAAGTCACGTATTGTAGATGACTAGTTGAGAGAGGTTGGAATTGAGTGCTTGGTGTGGCTAGCTCCAACTCAAGATTGAACACATTTTGGGCCAACTTAAGCGACGAGTACGACGGCGAAACCTAGGCGCTGACACCCTAGAAAACGTTGAAACGGCTGCTCTTGATGAACGGAAAAGAATTCCTCAGGATTTTGCCAGAAATCTTTTGCAAGGAATGCAGATGCGTTGAACAGATGTGAGTCGTGCCAGAGGCGGAAATACTTGGTATTAAAGGGGATAATACGACTATAAATTCAATAACAAAACATTTTGATTTCTGTTGCTGTATTTAGTTTTCTATAAGTTCAGTTCTTTGCATTATAGTTAATTTTGTTACGAATTTTTCGTGTTTTTTTTCTTTGTCAACACGTTGCTGATTACTGATTTATAAATCTGCACACGAATGTTTATAGTTGAGCCTATCACTTCTCGCAGTTCGCCGGCATTTCCAGCTTTTGTAATTTACAATAAATTGCTAGCAGGCCTCGAGATTCTCCCCGAGTATTGGTATTCCGGGGTCAGAACTCGGTCATATCAGTCCCGATTAGTTTCTAAAAACGAAACTCATTCACTCACTCATTCTGAAATACATTCTTTCGTATTTACACTGGAATAACTAGCCTATTTGAGGCGATGAGGTACTCAATATTCAGCCATCGGCCCTCTCACCCTATACATTCACATTAATAAATACATTCACTCTCAACACACCCAGGGCAAAAAAAACTATTATAAGAGAACAATAGAACAACCATGTTTCCTCCATAGATAAGAACAGGGGACTCAGATACTCGCCGCCGTCCTCAAGCACGAGTCTCATATAGGCTAGCATTCCTACGCGCTCCCTAAATTGAATCAGAGAATTGTCCGGTTCACTAGGTGGAATACACCGAGCGACCTTTCTCTACATGCGCGGGTTTTGGCTCCAAATTAAGTGACCTCGCATGATCTTCAACGGTTGAGGATGACCCCGCATTATCTTCCGAGGACCACCCATTCTCAATATTCTTGATCCGTGAGAGGTCAACACGTTAGTTACATTAAGACCTTCTTTTATGTGAATATTTTTATTTTTATGTATTTTTTGTTGATAGCTCTTGCTCGCTTTTGGTTGTGGATAATGCAGTTGGATTTTTTTATGCTACCAAGCATGCATTTGCTCGTCTAGCCTTTAAAGTTTAAGTGACTGAAGCAAATTCGTACTTGGAGCTCCATTAAATGAATTCAGTGCAAGTATCATTTAAAAAGGAATGTGTGAAACCATTTTCCTCCCACTTAAGTAAAATAAAGATTAGAAGAGAGGGTTTTAACAAAGGTAATAAAAAACCGACGTTCCATGGAGGGTTTAACCCTTAACAACTGTAATACAGCTTAGTACTAAGGGGTGCAATCAGGAATAAAATATAGTTAAGGGTGACTCCTAACGGGGTGGAGGGGTTGATCCTATTAAGTTCTTTGCAAGAGCGACTAATTCAAGTTAATTGGTAGATATTTCTAACTAAAGGAGGTCGGATGAAGGGGGAAACCGTCGTTCGGGGGCGGGGACCGAGGGCGGTTCCTGGCATTCCTGAACAGGAGTTGGCATTCCACCGGTAATAGGGAATATTAGGGAAGCGAGGGAGCCTAGACTTCATGGGCTGAGTGTCGGATTTTTGTTGGGCAATTAATCCCGAAAATGGGACGGCCGAAAGGACAATATAGTCGACAGTATTTGGGCATTTAGTCTCCCGCCTAGAGGGCGGACGGACAAAAAGCTTTTTACGCCGTACTAAACAACGTCAATTGCGAACGCTACTTTACGAGAGGAGAGTAAATGAAATGATGGACCTTGGAACATTTCATCACCTGCATTCTTTAATTAAAGTCAATAACAAACATTTATCTTAACAAACGTATGTTCACTTGTTTTGAAAATAGAAGCCACACAAGCTGTACACCAACCAGTTTTGAAAAAGGCCGATAGGGTCTTATTTCAGGGAAGCTTTTATATATGAACTAATAGAAAAGCAAACAATGTTAATTAAACTAGCTAGATTAAAACATTAATTCCAAATTCAAATTATCTACTGTGGTAACATTTGAATGTATAAGTGATCATACCGTAATATTAAGACGTTTAGAAACTGGATGCTAAGACCGATAAGACCTATATTATATGGCAGTTCATTTCCATCAGATGTGTTAATCTTTTTTTTCCAACACAAATTAGAATACTTTATACAAAACAATATTCATTCCATGTGCATGTTACGCTATAAAGTACTGCCATCGTGATTCTGACATAAGAAACCATTAAAAGATGAAAATACTTCCCAATTGTTTAGTGGTTATCTTTATTATTTAAAAAAAATGAAATCAATCATTTATAATCTCGAAATGACTCCCAGCAAAATTCTTACAATGGAACTTTAATTCTAATGATATAAAGTCCCAATACTTTTGGTATCATCTATTCTTTATGTATCTTAATTGAAGGATTACCAATCGCTTGGGTGAGCTTGGTGTAAAAAGGACGTTATCCTAAAACGTTAAACTAGCCCGGAGGATTAAACGAACCGGGAGGTGGAGGAGATAATTGCTTTCTATAGCTGTTTTGACCCCATGTATTTAATCCCCTCATGTTTTAACATCCAATCTCGTTGCCATAGCGTTTAAGTTTCTAGTAAATGGTAAATAAATGCTAGAAAGAGGTTATTAGAGCAATTTCAATATCAACGTGACTGGAATCACAAACTGGTCGATTACTCTCAATAAAACTATGCTTAGACTTAGTGGATGGATAATGGGCAATAATTTTGATCTAACAGAATAAATAAAAAAAAACCTCTATTTTATTTAATTATTGTTACATTAGGGGTATTCGCGATCTTTGTGTTAACCCTGTTAACTCCTGTTAGATCGAGAAAAATGACAGATTTGTAAAAATCGGCTAGTTATCGTTGCTCGATCTAACAGGCCGGGGCCAATGTTAGATGTTAGGTTGAAAATGTAGTCACATTGCTATCCGTTAGGGCGTAGGTAACCAACATGGCAGCCATGAAATTAACAGCTGTTTTTTTACACGTATTTTTATTCGTAAATACGCATTAATTAAATCAGACAAATACAGTTCTTTTGTCAATTTCTGACTTTGCTTATACTCTCCTTCATACTAGACATATCCCCTAACCTATAATGTTGTAGGCTCTTAGACGTTAGGGTACAAGTCTGGTATGTTGGCACGAATTGAAGCGTGTCATTTGTTAGTACTTTTCGAGTGCATAGATAGCTTTTTGAAAGAAAGAGTTCATTAATTTTCCTTTTTATTAACTTCTGGCATCTTACAATTTAACACAAAACGAAAACAAACAACAAGGAGTGTTATAGCTTTATTTTTGGTTCTACCAGTCGACAAATTAACGTTTAACATGCTAAGAAAAGAAGGGGGCATTTACGATCTTATTGGACATTTCTTTAACACTAGTTAACTTCTTACAAACATCGTGAATACCCCTATTATATATAGAATATGGCATATTTTCCTATTAGACTTATTTTTAAAGTTAAATAGTACTGCACGATACCTGTTTGGCCGAACCGATAATTTCAAATAAGTAAATTTAATTCATGCTATTTAATGCATATAAAACATATAAAGATAAAACAACTAATTAATTCTTTATAATAAGCATGTACACGATCTGTTTTAGGCGTTGACAAGCGGTCAGTTTCCTTATGCCTACGGCCAGCAGTTAGGCTACTGGTATCCTCAGTCGTATCCTGCGGCGGCAGCAACAGCGCAGATGCAAGGCCAGTTTCTCCAAGGGATGCAAGGCTACACATACGGCAACTATGGCTATCAGCAGGGCTACATGAGGTAGATATTCCAGCCTGTGCCTATTTAAAAATCAGAATCTCATTGCTAATGAACTGTTTTTTATTACATTTTTGTCTTTTTGTAATTTTAGCCGGATGGGCATGCAGTTGCCCGGCGCAGCGTGGGCAACTCAACCTCAACTCCCGGCTCAACAAATAGCATCTGCAGCAGCTCTTCAGCAGCCGACACCCGCCGGAATGGTCGCGGCGTACCCCGCGATACAGCAATTCCAGGTACCCTCCGCACACCATCTTCCCACAACCTGCATGCCTGCTTCATTAGTCAATTAGCCTGAGATGAGTTTTACGTTCATTATCATTCTTTTGTTGGTTTTATTTTTATTTATTGTTCGTTTCTCGAATTACATATTAATTTCCTTTGCACTTTGCTTCATCGTCCTACGACTTCCCATATCGGCCCATTCAGAATTGCGGACTATCCTGGAGAAAGTTTTTTTGTTTATTTATACTTAATTTAAAAGAAAACATTGGCTGGTTGTTAAAACATTCGAACCAGACAACGTTAAGCGTATGACAGGGAAAAATTAGATTTTTATTTATAACCTCTTACCCACCTTTTCCACATCAGTTACTTCTTTCTTTTTCTTTCTATTTCAATCCATACCTGATAGAAATTAAAAAAAACACAATGGCTGTTTCTAATTTTATTCCTTTTATATTTTATTTTTATTTTGGTTCAAAGTCCAAACCGTTTTCTACGCAAACAAGACTAGCACATTAAGCACAGTATGCTGTTAAACCCACGTTATCGATTTTTTTTCGTTACATTTTATATTTTATTTTTCATTATTTCATTTCTTATGTTTTTAAAGGTCGGCCCACAGGAGTATGGCTTCTATTAGAATTACAAGAAAATAAACAAAACATAGTTCAAAAGAATGAGCACATTTCGGTACGAATATTACAAAAATGAGTATAAATTTTTCGGTTTCTTTTTACTTTCGGGCACGAAGCTTTGAATTGCATTGCTGTAAAAAGTTGAATATTTTTAATGCAATCGTGCCGGAATGTGCGATTATTGCCCAAGCCGGTCATTAATATTGAAATGTCTGTTTTCCACAGCAGCTAGCCGAAGAAGAATGGCTTGCGCCCAGTCTCCTAGTTTGATGGTAATGCATCAAGAGAGGGCACACCCATCGCCGATCCAAGGCGAATTTTTAAAAAAACTTATAAAAAACTATAAAAAAAGTAAAAAATCAAAAAATGGAAAAAGAGATTTGTAATTAAAATATTTTCGCGTACACCCATCCTGGACAGACTGACACAGAACATACACACAGGTCTTCTAACGGGTACATCTTTGATTTTGTCCTAGAAAGTTACTTTCCCTGTCATGCGTAGTTTGTCAATTTAATCAAAGAGGAGTGAAACCTTATTCCTTTTCCCTTTGAAAGACATTAAACTTTTTGTTTTGTTTTTATTATTTGTTTTATTTGTGTTTTACACATTTTATTTACTTTTTGTTTTGTTTTGCCATAAAGGCTCTAATGATGGGCACCGGCTAAAGCAGAAGGGAAGCGAAGGAAAGAGAATAAAGGGACCCCAATCTCATCCTAGTCGCCGCGGACAAAAAAATAAAATTAATTTGAAATAAATTTAAAAAAGCGAATAGATATGAACAAATTGGAAATATTGTGAAACAGTATTAATACAGACTTTGTTCAGTGTGTGTATGTGAGCGTTGTTGGTTGTGGTGTGTGTACGAGGGGATATATCAAATTTTTGTACATGTTGACTAATGTTAAAATGAAAAAAAAAATTATGTTTGTTTTGTGTTCTAGGGCCAAAAATTCTCCCCTCTTCCCAGTCATTGAATGTACAAAGTCCTCAGCCTCCCCTCAATAATTTGCCCAACAAGACGTGTTAAAAACTGATGTATTCAAGGGGAGAAAATTGTGTCCTTGGAGCATATTATTTATAAAATTAAAAAAATGGGGTGTATATATATATGTGCGTTCATGTATATCCCGTAATTTATTTACCCTGGTGATATATTTAACAAAACGACGATGAATATAAATATATATAAATATATAAATAGGTCAAAAAACAACCAGTAGTGTTGCAAGAGGTATAGTGTTTTGTAGTATCTAGATGTATGTAGTGTTAACATAAGATGGTGTATGTGTGTGTATATATTTATAAACGTATAAATGCCATATATTTATACATATATAAACACATATAAATGAAACAAGTGAAATAGAGTTAGGAGCGAAGTATATCAAATAAATAAAAAGAATAGTCATTTTTTAAAGAGACAAAAAGAAATAAGCTTAGTGGTTGGTTACCGCGCACGTAAGAGCGTAGACTCGGCTTTCGGGGAAATCAGTCAATTTTATCAATCGGGTGGGGAAAAAGGGAGGGTTTTAAAACGGGAAAACGATGACATCAGTTTGTAAATAATTAGAAACTTGTTTACCGTTGGGGTTTTATTTGTCACATTTAAATTCTGCTGTTTTTCAAAAGCCGTTTATAGCCGGGGGGAAAATTTTTTTAATAACAATAATACCACTTTTTGGTACTGTGAAACGAAATGAAAATTTATTGAAAAACAAATCGTAGTAGTGACTTTTTCTACCGGGGGTCGATTTTTCTAGAGATTTAGTAACAAAAATAGGTGGGATTTAACTGTAAATAGTTTGGTTTTAGTACTGAGGCGGCCGAAGATCGCAAAAATGTTTTTTTATTTCGAATGATGGGAGATAATCCGTTTGTTTTGGTCAAACCAACCTTAAGAAAAGAAATAATTGTAGATATATATATAAAGTTATTTATATATTTTTATTTATTTGTCAAGTTTTTCTAAATGGAATGAAAAATAAACAATGGTGAAAAATGAAGCCCGATCACATGATTTATTATGTTTTATTTTGAAACCAATGGATAAACGCAAGATTTATATATATATACGTAATTTATGAATAAAAGAAAAATATAGGTGGACCGTATTTGTAGAGGATGCACTTATAGAAACAAATGCACAAATTGAAAAACCCCTTTTTTCATTCCTTCTGTGAACCTCTGACCCGTTCTTGTTGTTTAGTATGTTGTAAGAAAGGGCCTGACTGTCCATGCGGCGTTTCCTTTTGTAAATTTCTTTTGGTAATGCGAAAAACAAGAAAGAGAAGGTTATTATTGTGAAACGAAGAGTTTTATATATATATAAAACAAATGTGTAATGTGTTTAATTAACCCTCAGGTTGCTGACATGAGAATATGATGAACTTAAAACAAACATGTTACATGTGAAAGGCTTAAATCCTGAAAAGCCGTAGTGAAACACTGTATAGTTTATTAAAACACAAAATATGTTTTATACAAGGCTTTGGCAGAAATTATAATATAAGGTGAAACACTTTTAAAAAAATTAAAAAAACATGTTATAAATATAAATATATTTATTGGCAAATAACTGGCCGACAAGGATTGTATGTACGGATTAATAACAGGAATGTGTATATAATAAAGGAAAACAAAAAAATAATTTTTCGTTCTTTTTTTAATAAATTTCCTTTCCTTACAATACTTTAGCGAGTGTCTTCCTGCCGAATTGGTTCTATTACTTTAAAGGTAAGTTTAAATTAATTTTTTTGTCATCATGAAAGCAAAAATATTTATTTCAATGATGATTATAATACAGTTAATAAATTAAATACTTTTTCATCGCTTTTAAATAAGTTAAGATTAAGATTCTAATAGTTTTCACAATCTAAAATCTATTAGTATCTTAATCACCTATTAGTTATCTTCATCAAATCTATTAGTTATCCTAATCTTAGTAAAGTACTTCCTGTTATAAGAAGGGGTTAAATCCAACTACCCGCGGAAACCAACCTAATTTACTACACTTTTTGATGTTATGGCCAATTAAAAAGGTATGTTCGGTCCGGGGATTCGAACCCACAACCCTCCCTAACGCCTTTCGGCGAGTCCCCACGATTATATATACATGTAATATTGTGTTAGAAACACAATATTGTAAAGTTAAACCAAGTCTATCTACTTCCATCCTCGCAAAGTTTAGAATAATTTGAACTCGATTTGCACTGATCCATCCGCTAAATTGCAACAGGAATAACTGCTAAACAAACTTGACTAAATTGTGTTGGGCCAGTAGGAAATTGGTAGGTACACGGGGTGAATAAAGGTGATCTCTACTTTCCGCAAGGGATGAAAAACAACGAGAAGGTCATAAGTGAATATGTATATACAGGGTGACTGGCGATAGGTGTTGAAAATTTCAGGATGTGTTTCGACTCACCTGTGCAAAAAAACACTTCCTATCAACCCCTGTCCAAATCTCAACGGTAAAGAAGTAATTTCAGGTTTTAATTTTTCGACTTAGGTACACTTAATTGATTATATTATTGATAAAAATTACTGTCTTTAGAAAAATCTGGTTTGTGCCACATGAAAGAACGTTAAATTTGCTGTATGAAAACTTATTTACATTGCAGAGTTGATGAAAAAGTTCTGAACGAAAAATTCAGAAAAAACAAAAAAGTTGAAATTCGGAATTTTTGAAAATGTTCGATTGGTAACTGTTAATAAGTACAAACTCCTGGAGCTTTGCAGAATGCCTCAAAAGTTCCCCATTTCATTAGCTTCCAGCGGCATACCCACCTTTTTGTATTGCGCTTCTGGAAAGCCCGTCGGGAAGGATCGTACCCTTACCACTTTACGAAATGACCACCAGCAAGGAAGCGGAAAAAATCAAATCGCTGCTGGAGGTCATTTCGTTACAAACTTTGCACTCTCGTAAAATAGTAAGTGTACAACCAATATATATATATATANATATATAAATTATTAATTATTTTATTTTTTTAACAGTTTACAGGAAAATCGGATTGTTATCGTGCCATCATCATGAAGTGGTTGATTCCCAATAAACCCTGGATGGAGTCGAATCCAACATAATCAGTCATTTACTCGTTTAAATGTAAATTCATCGGGGAATAATGGAAAAAGCTTAACCGTAGGAAGAACCCTCAAAAAAGTTAGTTTATTTGAGGCATTTTGAAATAAAACTACAAAGTTTCACAAATTTGTGTGCCAACAGAGATACTGAAGCCGGAATGCTTACATAATATCATAAACAAGATATTTTTATTTCATTTAATGATTATTCAGAAATCATGACATGCGGTCTGGTGTCATGTAGGTTTCAGAAAAGCATTTTCTTTATCGTGCCAACGTTTCGATCTTTATTGAGATCATCTTCAGGTCTCAAAGTGTTTGTTTTCTGCGTAATTTTGTCATTGCCACACATGGTGTCCAACACGATACACAAGAATGACACAGTAAAGTACTTAAAACCTCCATAAGCTATTAATAAAATTTTATGAAACTTGGCTATTCTCCATTTAATATTTTACGTACTGACCAACATGTGTTTCTTTCTGAGAGGTCCACCAAAGTATTATTTCTTCCATACTCCTCAATTAAATAACAAAGTTTCATTTAACAAATTAAAAATATTTAATTTTATACAGATTTTATCTTAGCAGATAATGTTTTGCTGGACGAATAGGCAAGTAGTTCACCTCAAAATAAATAGGATACAAGTATTAAGGATAGGCAGACATACGAAAAGTTGGTAACTTCTTCTCAGAAAATAAAGAGAGATTGCGGGTAAAATGGGTCCTTCCTGATTTTTTCATTACAAAAATTCTGTCAGACCGTAACAACTTTACCTCTTGTCTGCAGTAATACGGAAGATCTAACAACTTAGACTGTCCATCCTGCCCGGTTAACTGATGACCTTTGACACAAGTTGTTCTGGTTCACAACACACAAACATGCTAAGTTTAAATTTGAATGTAACTAATTTAGTTTTGAATAGTAATTTATTTCTACTATGTACAAATTACATTCGTATTTGTACATATTTATGGACTATATACAGAAAAAAGAGGGGAAAACAATTTATTTTTTTATGTAATCATGTCAAATTCTGTTGGAAGCTATATGACTCACCGAAACACAAGAGGGCAAATGGAGTACAGTTTTGTAAATCCTCTTCCAGAATCAATTCATTTTCATCCATTAAAAACCTCTTCACTCCGTTAAAAAAAAATTGCACACAAATTTTCATAACCTAGAACAAAATAATACTCCTCATAAATAATAATTCCTCAAAATTTGTTGAAAGTACTATTACACGAAACAGTTTGGACGCAATGCCAATGTTTGGTTATAAATGATTAAATAAATAAGTCAGGCTGAATTATATTTACAAATAATCAACGATGCTAATTATATAGTTCATATCGAGTAAATATAACATAACAAAACCTATGAAATATTTGAAGAAACATTCAAAGCTCTAATAGAATTCGTTAATAGGCTGGAAGAATCCCTAAGAGTAACATTAAATTAATTAGGGAATTATGGTAATAAAGGGCATAGCAAAACTCATTGATACAATTTACTACGGAATAACTTCAATGAAGCGAAAACAATAATATTCTTATCGGACTAAAACAAAAGGTTCAGGGAAAATGGAGAACTCCCGTTTTTATTTTAATTAGAAAAGCAAACTACCTTTATCGGCTCGTTTGGAATTAATATTTCAACTCAAAAGGGCACATCGTTACGGTTTAAATCCCTCAAATATTATATTTAGAATATAAGAGAAACAAATTCAAATCAGTTTTTATAAACAAACAATCGTGCCCATCAATTATATTAGTTTGAACGTTTTCAGAGCTCTTCTTTACCAAAAATCACTAATGTTGAAAACCTATCTCCTCAAATTATGTTACATTTGGAGAATTAAATTAATACAGATGAGTAAATAACAAAAGAAACAATTGTTTAATAAACACGATATTTTTTTTACAACACGGTTAAAATAATATGGAATGTTAATACAGGAATTGAATTTACGGAATTTAACTGTAAAGAGAATCCATTATCTTTAGTGGTCTATTGACCAAATTACTTCCTTCAATTACTTAATCTTTTTATGTAAGTTTTGGTCGAAATGAAAAAGCTAGTGTCAAGTGCGGGATTCGAACCCACGACTTTCGGCTAAATACGCCGTGGCTCTAACCACTTGAGCAATCGTGACTTCGATCCACTCGGACACCAAAATGGCAAAAAGAGTTCCCTCTTCGAAAGGTTGTAGGTTCAGATGGTGAATTGGTATCCGAGTGGAAAGAAGTCACCATAGCTCAAGTGGTTAGAGCTGCGGCGTATTTACTAGTCATCATGACGCTAGCTTTTTCATTTCAACCAAAACCTTACATAAAAAGATTAACTAAGTGAAATATGTAAAGAGAAAGCTTAATAACGTTTAACTTAAAGTATTTACTATGTAACATTAAGCTGGGTAGATTTTAACACTGGCTTCTGCCAAAGTATTCCCCTTTGCTTAAATTTTTCTCAATAACATCTTTACGGGGTTTTATATAATTGTTATAAAGCATATTTTTTGCAAATGAAATGAAGTATTGCCTGGTGTAGATGGTAAAGTGAACAGGAAACAAAGTGATTGAAGCAGATCGCCCCTTTAGTTCGTTATATTAGCACATAGATAACCATTACAGGATAAGCATGACTGTGGGGGTTCCAGTTATCTTCATCAATCCTTCAATAAACGAAACTAGTTCGCCGAGGAATGTCTCAACGCAGGGAAATAATGTTGACAAAACGGTAAGTTGTGAATAAATATATTTCAAATCGTAAATCTTCCTTTTACACTGTTAACAATTGGAATTGATATAATTCTATCATTTAATAAACAATAAGAAGAAAACATAAAACATTGAACGCAACATCAAGCACAAATCTAAGGCAAGCATGTTTTGGTAATGATTTTTGTCAACTATAAGATAACTTGGAGATCGTGAGATGCGGTCTGGTGTGACGTAGGTTTTAGAAAACATTTTCTTTATCGTGCCAACGTTTCGATCTTTATTGAGATCATCTTCAGGGCTCAATAAAGATCAAAACGTTGGTATGATAAAGAAAATGTTTTTCTAAAACCTTATTTTGAATCGGATTAACATACTTCAATATTAGCGGTAAGAGTGTTGGTTGCCTAGTATGGGTTCCCGAACACATAACCGGGAAAAAGAACCACTGGAGCTAACATATTAGCTAGAATGTATAGATCGTAACTTGGCTACATCGTCACAAAAATGAATTAATAAGAACAAACTGTGAGAAGAAAAGGAGAAGAACAACAAAGAATGGCTAACGATGACTTATTTAGTTTGCTGGCCCTAAAACCATCTACTATTCAAAAAGCTTCAATGTTCTTTAAAATATAAAAAAAGTAACTTAGAAGAAAATGTGATATTTGTTTTGAGAATAGTGGGGTGACGAACCTGTGGTTGTCATTTCGCGGTCCGTCAAATCGTTCGGCTTCGCGGCCATCCTCAGTGGTGAATCTGATCAGAACCACAGCCATCAGACGATTCAAAATAAAAAATAGCATAAGACATCTTAATCCACCAAAGACAACAAGAAAACACA